AGTCTTCACTTTAAAAAAATTAATTTTCTATTTTTAAATAATATTTATAACAGATATTTTTTGTAAACATTTATTACTAACAAGTTGATTTTCAAGATCAATTTATAAGATGGGAAACCTTTTTTTTCCTAATGATTTTTAATCATAAACTGCTCAAAAAAAGAAAGTCAACATCAACATATCAATCGTGCTAAAATTCACGTCAAAAAAGGTCGATTAACACAACAATAGTTGAAAATGACCAATTATTAACCAACATAGCAACTTGGACAAATTCAATTCTAGGACAGATAACCAAAATAACAGTTGACAAACAACAGAATCCTTTAGCTGATTTAACTGTTTTCGTTACTTCAAAGATTTAAAACAAATTATTAGGTTCGTATTAAAGTTGCATTTGTTATACCATAAACAGAAAAATATAATTGTTAACAACTGCTATAATTGTTCATAAACCAGCAAATTACAACCCATCTCTAATTAAAAATGCCTCTGCAGCTTGTTCTAATTAATTTAATTATAAAATGCTTAATTATTTTTTTAAATCTGCTTGATTAATTTTAATTAGTTTACCAAAATTGCATAATTTCATTTCATAATTAACTCAAATACGCAATAAAAACCCAATTAAGATTTTTGTGATGTATTTAAAAGCTATTTCGATAATTATTTTTTTCTAGGATTCCGCAATACCCAGAACGTAAAAGTAGAGCATTTTTCTATATCCTTATTCAATGTACTTTAAGTTTATGTCGCGGAATAAAAAAGAAATCAGATTTCAGATATAGCTTGTAAAATACAATTTCACATAAACGTTGGTTAGTTCCTCATCCCAGATCTGATATCTCGGTTCAATTAATTGTAGAAATATGAAATAAAATTTTTCGAAAATTCATTTGTGTACAATCATTCTTGAAATATAATTAGAACCGGTAATAGTAATATTTTAAACTTAATATAGAGCTTTAAACCTGTCACACAACACTATTTATAATATAAGGAATATTCAAATCAAATTAGAAACTGGCAGTTTTAGGAACTTGCACCTTAAGGAAAGAAAAAGGAGATAAAACCTTCAACCTAACTTCTAAATGAATCTCTTAATTGATTCCATTATATCTGACTATTAAACAGATTGAATGGATATATGTGCTTCGTTATTTTATAATTCTAATAAATGATAAACTGTAACATTTTTATTAGAGCTACTCAAAATAAGACATCAAAACCTATAGAAAAAGGTTAAGCTGATAATGATGATGCTAATGACCTGAAATAAAACATCAATATTCTCTCCCTCGGGGGCTTAGAGGGAAGACCTCATTAAGACTTATATTAACAAGTCCTACCAAAGTCGGTTTAAAACAATGGCAAAAAACCTGACCAAGAAGATAATAGAATATTAATGCCCAACTAAGTTCAGTCAATATTTAAGTTTAAAGCATTTTCATCTTCTTTATGGTTCATTTATATTCTTTTTTTGTCCATTTATAATGATAAATTGTTAAATATTTATAACTTTTAAGTGTTTCATAATCATCTCTAAACAACAATAATAAAGATAAAATAATAAATTAATTGAATATTTAGTCCAGGGTTGCGGTCTGAACTAACCAAGTTCTAAGTGAAACTCCTAAATGAACACACCTCCCTGATGAAGACCTGCAAAGTCGGGTCGAAACGTCGGCTTTCAATAAAATAGTTTTACCACTATTTAGCCTATTTATGACCGCAACCCCGGACCATCTCCTTCATTAATAATAAATTAAGATAATGTATTGTCAACTGTGGAACTTGTGAATTTTTTTTTATTTTTAAAGTTTCTGAAAAAAAAAAAATGAAATTATATAGAGGCATTAGTGATGAAACGGAATTTTTAATATTAAATACGACACCGATAGAAGCTGTATGTAATGAAATCTTTCTAACATTCAAAATCTTTCAGCAAGAGTTGGATTTCGTCATGAAATATTAGCCATTAACAGATATCAGTGTTAGATAAAACTAGGAAAAAAAAGGAAATTAAAATGATAGCGCATCTTAACAAAATAGACAGATTGCCTACAACAACATCGTCGGATTGGAGGAAAAATAAATTAATAGACAATTTTGCGATTATGAGAGTGTTTTCTATATATCAGCGTTTAAACAAAATCTACGCTTCACTAGAAAATTATTAAACTATCTTTAATTACATAATTAACGGATAATTTAATTTTGCTCATCATCCAAAAAAGTCCCTCGGTAACTTTTATCTACAGTCCGACGATATAATTATTTCTTAGAGAACTTAATGGATAACACTTAATTGAATTAACCCTCCCTTCCTACCCCTTTCCAAAAACAAACAAAACAAGAAGTAAATAAATAATAATATTCGAAAAACAAACTAATAATGAATATTAAGTGAAACTTTTAAATATTTATAATGTTAAGGATTAACGAACCTGGAAGTTCGAAGCCGATACGGAGTTCTTCCTTTCAGATTTTTCTACAATAAGAAGTTTAACTGGACTAGATGTTGATACGGTTAAGATGTCTTAATACTCTCGTCCATCACGGCCTCAATTTGACAAAAAGTAATCAATTATTTGACAGGAAAGGTAATTTATAATTTTGTTGTTTTTAAAGAAAATGCAGACCTATAATAAAAACTTCTTAGATTTGAAAAAGTATTTCAAATTTTATCTATATTTATTTTGTAGTAATTGTAGGTTTTTATTCATACTAGATTTACTTTCCATAATTCCTGTTTTGTTAGAGATATATTAACTTGCAATCCTCTTTATACAACGCAGAAGGATACCTATGCTTCGATAGTATGTAGAAAAACATTTTTTTATCAAACTTTATTGGTTATTCAATGATACCAAAAATTATTACATAAAAATAAAATAAATTTATTTATAATGAACGATCATTCTTTTGTCTGTCTTTTTTCTTTCTCTTCATTTTCACAAAAAACACCTTAACCATTAAATTCGTTTAATGTTCTTCCTAATTTACAGTTAAAATAAATATGGCGTGCTAGTATAAATTAATTAATTGGACATTAGATGGGAATGGGTGTCGTCAGAGAGATACAGAAGAAAGTTGAAAAATGTGTAATGTGATGGAAAGGTAATAGCTTTCAAACCACTTCTCAAGATTACTCCTCGAGACTAATAGTGTTTCTGGACTACCTGAGAATCGATCCCGACCCAGCCAATCATAAGAAACTGGCACCATGCTTGACGCTTCGAGTAGGGTCGGGGATTTAATTCAAACTTTTAATCGACGGAAGCCCTCTCCCCCCTCCATAGAGTTAAACTTGATGAGAGACATCCTGAAAACGATACTCGTCCGGTTTAAATAGATGTCAAACAATCGTTTACGGGGATGATAACAGAATAGCTAGACAAACGAAACGAGAGCCTTTTTAATATTTATGCGTTGTATTTATTTCAATTGAGTTTACTCTAGATTTACTGATTACAATATTCCTGTTGCAACGAGACACTTTTTGTCTCATTTACTTTGATAAAGATGAGACGATTTTATCAATGAAACAAAATGCAATCATCTAAATATAATTCTTACAATCTCCTTGTTGGATATACATTTATTTATTTTTACATCATCTGTACTTTGTAATACTCGCTAATAATATGTAGATGACAATTTTATAAATGTTTTACTTGTATGGATTCGACAGTACTCATCCCAAAATTTAAAAATAACTTAATACAATTTACCACTTTATTCTGTTAATCATGATGGATTGTAGAGTGTCACAAACCGTTAAGGAGAGGATTGGGAAGACCTTCCATGGAGTCAAAGAACTTCATAAGGCTTCTTTTTATGAATTCCTTGATATTAGGTGAAGGAAGTATTTGATGTATATTTGGACTTTTATATATTAAGTATGTTATTAAAAACAGTTCAAGTTGGTTTGCAGCACTGTTCATGGTTTTTGACAGTAAACATAACCTTACTTTCTGTCATTAAGAGCTAAAAGTGGTTGTAAAACACTCTGTTATGGTGTTATTATTATTTATAGAGTGTATGAGATTAAAAAACATAACTGAGTTCGTGAAGAAAGCATATTTTTGTGTTCAACTCTACGATCAAGATCTTGGGCGGCGCATAAAGCATATTATGTGTGTTGAAGATCTTAGGAAATAGCCAAAAAAGCAGAAGATTTAATGTTCCGATGGCATGAAGAGAGCCAAGGAATCATTCTGATGATTGGTAATGCTGTAATGTTAGTCTATTAAAAAAACAGAATTATTGAAGAAAGTTAGTCGATTGTTCACCATATCATGGGGGATAAATATTCAGGAAGCAGTCATTTTAAAGGTTTTTATTGGTGCCGACGTTTCAACCCTAACATGTGGGTCACCATCAGGGCGTGTTTCGAGCACTGAAGGTATTCAAGTACTGAGTACATTTATCACCCATAAAAAAAAATACGAACGTTCCGTCTGCCATTCGACCAGAAGACCATGGTGCAGATCTACCTTTCCCTAAGCAACCAGAAGATTTTGATGATGTAATCTTAAACGTACTTACTGATGCACAATCTGATTCAGATTCTCGATAGTTAGTGAAAAAATAAATAGCAACTGATGTTTTCCCTAACCATCTTATATAAATTACTGATATACACATAAATTAGAAGATTACGTATCATCTTTTAATATATGAATGTATTTGTAAGTAATACAATATAATTTAGGAGAAAAAAAAAGAAAAAAGAACGAGGTCGAATTGCATTAAAAGGAACAAGATTTGAGCACGTAGAAGCTGTTAAGAGAAAGTGCACAAGTACTGATGTAAGTTCGCATGGGGCATCATAGGAAAAGAAGAATGAAGTAGAGTGAATATTGAACGTGATACTAACTCTAGTAGAGTTACCTAATTTTACCAATGATGTAAGAGTTCAAGAGTTCGAGAATGATCGACGATTGAAGGAATTATGTTTATTCTCAACCAAACAAATATATTTGAAAAATCTTTACCTGATCACATATTAAGTCCCATTTCTTTTCTATGTCATAGTTTTTAAGGAGCTTTGCCTTGTCGGGAGGTAAATCCATGCTAGCCTGAAACAGAAAATAAAAATTAGCGAAAGTAGCCTACACAGAATGACTTTTGATATAAATAGAAATGAAGTGTTGATTAAGAGGAAATGGGTAACATAGGAATGGATACAAGACAGGAATTGACATAGATGTCGTGGGTGTCATTGGATGATCAGAAATGATGATAGCGCTCTGACTACAGGGAATGCTCAGTATCTCGATGACTAAGGCATTCAGTTCGTTTCCTTCTTATTTTTTTTTAAATTATACTCTTTACCTCATCACTCCCAATACCGTCATGTTGAACACATTCATCAATCTTTAGAAAAATATATTCATTGTGATAAAGTGCTGAATCATTTTTCGTAGTGAAATACATCTCTCTTTCCTCTCCAAAATACATACCATAGATTGCCAGGTTTTATTTAATTTTTTTTGGTAACTATCTAATAACACAAGTTAAAGTTCATTAAAAAGTGGCCAACTATAAAGCGTTTTCATGTCAAAAACTGACCTTATTGACTACATTAAATTTTCTTAATACATCAATATGATTACTTTAAAAGTTATTTTATATGACCACATTACTTATGTATTGCTTATATTATTAAATAACTTATTTATTATAATATACTTCTTTTGACTAATATATGATAAAAAAAAATTTCACTTAATCCACTATATTTTATTTTCTGAACTAATTAAAGTGTTTTTATAATAAAATATTATTATTATATTAATCCGTAATATCGTAGATTTATTTCAAAAAGTCATTAACAAGTAGAAGATACTGTCTCAGGATCACCGATTTCAACCTTCTTTTTTTTTTTTTGTTGATACTACATCGAAAATTTTTATATAATTTCAAACAAAATTTATGTTATTTATTTTTGTCCTGATTTTTGGATTACTATATATCAGCCGTTTTCTTTATTTGTGCAGAATAAGAAAATCATATTAACAAATGTATTTAATTAGTTATATTACATCATAAATTACAAAAATCAAAAAGTGACGAGTAAAGTAGGTCAAATAAATTTTTGTAACGAAAAAGCAAATAAGATTCCTTTTTAGGACTCTTTGAAAACTCTTAGATACAAAGTCATATATAAATGAAAAAATACAACTTTTAGTAATTGATTTTCTTGGATGAGTTTTTTTCCGCCGTCAACTAAAGCATCAACATTAATATAACCGTTGGAAATCTGAATTACTGCTCATCAAAATGACACCAATAACTTTCGGATTTAATTAATTTCAAGCTAGAAATTAAGAAAAACTTCTAATCAATTTTTATTTTATGTCTTTAGTTTTAATTTTTTTAAGAAGATCGGGTTTTTATTATTTCGTGTATCACACAAGAGGTCTAATTTCCTATTTCGTGTGTATCAGAGAAGCCATTCTAAAGTTATCACAAGTTTTGTGGTTCCTGAAATTTCAAATCGTCCTATTGCGAGTAGTAAATTTTTATTTTTCGATTGCCAACAAATTTGTATTTAAGAATTTTTTGAGGTGAATATCAACTTTGTTTCTCTCTAAAAACTATTTACTCCCGAATTGTGCCCATATTGTAGCTATCTGCCAAATATAATATTTATAAAAAAACGGTCTAGCATCTAGAATTAATAATATTTTAGAGAACTTTTTTTGATGATTTATGTGTTTGTTTTAAACATCAAGAATCATAGTTTTTACCCTCTTCCTGCCTATTCATTTACTTCCGCTAAATAATAATAGTTATCAACAAATTAAATATAACAATAAGAATTGTTGAACCACCAAGGTAAGGTTAAGGAGAAGCAGGTCACAAATGAGGTAGAGGCGGGACTTGGGCGACCAAGTTTATACTGCTAACTGTCTCAGCTTGTTGCCACCTAGGATTGTTTCTTCGGTAACAACTTCTAGACTAAGGGAAAACTACAAATTAGTTTTGCTACTGAAATTAAGTTAGAAGACACAACTTTGGAATTTTAAAGCTGTTTCTAGATATTTTCTTTTGATTATTTACAGGTTTAATTTCTATGATGCATTTCGTTTCATAGCAATGGTTCTATACTTAATAATAATGTAGGAATACTTTATCATTGGATTTTATTTTATTTATTTATTTTTTGTCAAAACCTACCTCCTATGAAGATACACATTTAAAAGTTTGAATTTATCGTAGCATAAAAGTTTATTAACCTACTTGAACTAATAATAACTTAAAATTAACATAATTTTATTTGTTCCGCAGACACCGTACATCAGTGAGATTGTAATTTATTTTTAATATATAAAAATTATTTTGTTTATTGATTAAAAAATGATTAACGATAAAGGTCATATGTAACAATTTTAAATGTTTTGTTCTGTTTACATTAAAGGTAGAATTTTGTAGTCCGTAACTACTAAGTAGGAAAATAACAGAGAGAAATAAAATATGAATTTAAACTAAAAAATCATAAGAACTAGTTTTTCAATGCTCTTCGGTAAAAAAACTCAATTCTTACAACCGACCTTTTGTACTAGCAGTAGTGATATATACATCATGAGAAGAATGGCTCATTTTTTTATTTAAAGGACGATATCTAAGCAAAATAAAAATTATATACAAAATAATATAAATCGATTCACGATCAAATAGTTATGATTTGATATGTCATCAGTGCCTTTTTAGGGTTTTTCTACCTGATAAAAACACATACATAATAGTATACACATTAAGTCAGGGAATCATAATATTTAAGCTAGCATATAAAAACTTCCTGCTCTTTGTGTTCTGTATGATTCAAGACGTACGTCCTGTTACCCTAGACCCTCAGGCAATTGTTAATTCAAAGCTTTTCATCTTCCAGTGTGTACACTGAAAAACGGATGGAATTAGAAATATATAGCAAATAATTAAAATAGAGGTCAGTTAATATTTTTTTGGCAGAATTTATACTCAATTGAGATCCAAAATAAATACCAATGGGAAGATTAAATAAATAACTGATTAAAGTAGTAAATAGCTTAAACTGAAAAGTAAATTTCGTTAAACTTGTTTAAAAGAAGTTCCATTTTTCGAGATTTAACCCTATTCCATAAAAATAACTGTTACTTTCAACTGATACTAAAACTTGCCAATGAAAGTTTAAACTGCTTAATGAACAGTCCGTTTCTAACATGAATGGGGAAGCATTAGCATTTTAAGTTGAATTTATTCAGTTCAGAATATATTCTTTCTCAAATGACTTTTCCTCAATTTCTTTTTCATAATATAATTCAACGAGTTCCATTCCGTTTTAGCAATATGGAGCGAAGAGAGTTGAATGGAATTATAGAAAAGAATTATTTTTGGGAGAGGCCGTGAACAACTCATCGGAATTTCAAATTGATGATTCAACCAAGGCTTGTTGGTGGAGGAGCTTGCTGGGTGGTCTTGGGTTGGGTCAACTTGTGATCGATGGATAGGTGCCAGTAATAACAGAATCGCGGTGAAATGTAATCCTTGTCCGGCAACATATGTTACCAACCCTGATATCTGTCAACGTGATACGAGGTAGATCCTGGCTTCCGCCAAGCAACGTCAACAAACGTCTATTACATTATGCACTTGGTATCAACTATGACCGCAACATGATCATGAATACAAAGATATTATGTAAAAACACTATTTGATGAAAATATTAAATAAAAAAATTAAATCTTCCTTAATCTTATAAATATAGTGTATATAGGTATGCTTGTACCTAAGATGTTTATTTTAACTTTATTTCTATTTTTATTTAGTTCTGAGACAGATTTCTCAGTAAATTTTATATTTCTCAATAAATGTTGAAAAAAAAACTTATATATTTGTTCTGATTACATACTAAACAAGGAAATGGTGGAAACGTGAAATCACCGATTTCAATTAAACATTTTTTTTTTTTGGTGGCGTGAGGTACGTGTGAGAAATTAGAAAAAAAACAAAACATACTTTCAATCATCTTAAATGAGAAAAAAATAAGTATACACATTTTAATATTAATAACACGTTTCTTTTTATAGGATCTTTCAAGTAATTATAGGTATAAGTAACAAAATGTACAAAAGTTCCAAAAAAAAAAGTAATAAACTCCATAAAATAACAAAAAATCAGGTACTTGAAGCCAGACGTCCCTAGCAACCTGGACTCTGGTAACATTAAACATAGCTTATCGGAAACTGGATTCTTTCAACAAAGTGGTTCACATGGTTTTTTTTTATGCTTGGGTACTTTTTTTGTCCATTCGTTTCCAAAAACAGTGAAAAGTTCAAGGGTTAATTAGTTAAAAGCTCAGATGATATTCGAACAAAATAGTTGAAACTAGTAATAATAACAATGAGCCACTGAAATGAAATTAAGAACCTACCACTCATATCTTAGAAGAAATTATTTCTCCATTATGAGCATTTATATTAGTAACAAAATAAATTATTATTGAAAAAACAATAAACAGAAATGAAATTATTTTTTACTGGTATATAAGTAAGAATATCTGTTACAGTAATTTATTCTCCCAAATTCATTTCCACTCCATTACATCATGGCGTTTCGGGATCCACTTTTATATCCCATTTTCAGACTAGAATTTACAATATTATCGCTATCAACAATTATATACAATCAACACAACATTTATTTATATTACTTTTAAGAACATAATAATTTTATTTTATTTATTTATTTATTTTTTTAAACCTGTCACGTGAATATAAATGAATTCTTATAATGCTGAATTTATAAAGGATTTAATTTAATTCTAAAAATAAATTTCTTATTTATACTTAGGTATAAGGTAGAACGAATTTATAGTAATGTTTAAAAATATCGTTTTGAATTTGAGTACAGCTGGTAGTCCCAAAACGCATATTTAGAATATTCAGAAAGCAGTCATTATAAAGTTTTTATTAATACCAACGTTTCAACTCAAACATGTGGGTCATCATCAGGGTGCTTCGAGTACTGAAGGTATTCTGAGTAATTACGAGTAAATGCCTTCAGTGCACGAAACACGCCTTGATGATGACCCACA